CTCTTATCAAAGACATAGTCCTCAAACTAAACTCTCGTTGATCCTGAGCACTGGGAGTAGAACTCTCCCCTCTCTGCCGGGCAAACCCCGAAGTAGCAGTCATGGCTGTGGCGAGACTAGAGAACCGAAGCGGGAACCTACACAAACGCTTTGGTGCTAAGGTAATGAAGGACTCGACACCAAAATAGAAGGATAACTATCTAAAATAGTGGGATCTCCCAAGAAGCGGAAGCAACCCTATATATATGTGGGGAAACAGCGATGGTCCGCCTATCCAAGTTGGGCCCCGGAAGGACAATGACTTTGACACAAGACCCGAGGTAGTACCCAACCTCGAGGACCTCCATCAACAAGAAGTTAGGCTTCAAGGAGCCAACAGTATCATCTCTAGTCCCGAAGTGGTACCCGACCTCGAGGACCTCCATCAACAAGAAGTTAGGCTTCAAGGAGCCAACAGCACCATCTCCAGTCCCGAGGTGGTACCCGACCTCGAGGAACTCCATCTGCAAGAAGTAAGGGCTTTAAGAAGCCAGCGGTACCATCTCCAGTCTCAAGATGGTATCCGATCTCGAGAACCTCCTCCAAGGAAGGAAGTTAGGCTCCAGAAAGCCTTCAGCACCATTACGGAGTTCGAGATGGTATCTGATCTCGAAGGTTCCTCTCAAGAAGAAAAATAAGCACTTCGAGCTCCGCCCATAAGGGCTTGACCTTAGGACATCGCCTAAATCTGGGCAACCCCTCATCGGGGACTTATCTACAACACCTTTAAAGTTGTCTACACCAAGTTTAAAGCAAATCTTCAGGTCCATGACGCTGAACCTCACTTGGAGACCACTCCAAAAAATTTTGAGGCTCAAGGTATTATTTTCATATGATCCAAGGTAAGGGTCCCGACGGCCCGAGTCTATCGGACCAATTCGAGCTTGGTCCAAGGAACATCGGAGGGTTCCGGGAAAGGCCGTTGGTATCAACCAGAGGCCAGAAAAATACTCACACACGGGCTAGATATTGACAATAGTCAGCAGAGGCATACATTCAGAATCTCCACAAGTGTTAAAGAAAACGGCAAGCATCAAAGACGAAAGTCGAGAAAATATTCTTATATTCATAAATGTTTGGTTACAACAGCCCGCAAGGGGTCCTTACATATGATTACAAAAGCCCATAAGGGGTTCTTACACAGAAACAAAGAGGCACAAGGGTATACATGAAATAAAAGCCTAGAGCCTAGCCTATTCTCAAGGGTGCGACCTCAGCAGCAAGATCTTCGAATATCTTCCCCTCGAGCGCATGACCTCAAAGACAATATCTTCCAAAGCGCTACCCCCTCGGGAGCCTTATCTCGGTCTTCCACACTGATATCCCCAAAGGAGAAGATGAAGGGGAGGAAAGTGGAGAAGCAGGAAGGGATGAAAAAATACCATAGCCCGCCAAAGGTCGAGGACCCTCATCGGAAAAGAGAACCTCGAACCAATAACAGACTTGGCAAACGTCGGCCTCACTTGCACGACTACTTTGAATTCACTTCTTGGGACATTGAGCCGTGCAAGCTACTAGCCAGGGGCGGAGCGCTACGCCCGGTCGGGGTATGAAGGTGAGCAGCGGTGTATAATCCGAGCCCCCTCGTGAGCAGCGGTGTATAGTCCGAATGACTTTCTAAGTCGGAGGAACTCTGCCCCCATGTATCGTCATCTCGATCCAATAACAGCAGTAGTAGCAATCGTAACAACAACAACAACAACGACAAGACAATATAATCTCGTTCGACATGGAGAAGCTCAAGTAGAAGACCACCACGCAGCTGATAAAAGTGCTACCATACAACCTTGAGGCCGTGGAACCCGAACATGGCGGTTAACAATGGAAGACGATAGTGAGAAGAAAAGGATGAATGAATGGAGAAAGGCACTATGACAAAGAGGTAGTGCCAGAATACCCGCATTTATAGGGGGTGACAACACGGCCATCAATGCCTTTAAAAGACGGATCGGTAGACGCAACCAATGCGTTCTTGAAAACTGATTCAACGGCGGCACTGTCACTTTGAAGAATGGGAATCGACAGTGCATTGAATAATGCCGAAAAGACAAGTCTATGGGATATCCCTGTTATCGTGAAGGCTTACGTCATAGGCTGCAGCATCAGTATCACGTCATCACGGGAAACCCAAAGAGTAGGGCATCAAAATCATTTCCTATCACTCCGTTCTAGGAAATGCGAAGACTATCTGTGTACGGCAAAATTGGAGGGTCCAATTTCCCGTCGTTAAGGCATTTCGGAAGATCATCTCGAAGCCTCGAGGCTGCAAAGATATGCTCGAGTCTCCTTCCTCGAAGCTCGTCGACACCCGGTCTGGAGGGAATATCGACCGAAGCTAGAGTAAAAATGGGGAGTCCCCAAGGCACACGACTTAGTCTAACAAGGCCTAGCCGGCCTACTCTGAACCCGAATTAGGGTGTCATATCTAGCTGTCCCATCTCCATATCTTTACAATTAATGTATGTCGTACCATATAAGGTTTTCCCTTCTATATAAAGGGGATCCTTACTACTTTGTAGACAAGCTGCTGTCACTCCAACTATTCTACACGAAATATATAATAACTCTCTTTCTCTTTTTCTCTCTAACATATTCTCTGTAGTGTTGCTCTTATTTATTATCTTTATACTTGTTCTTCATTTATTTCTCATCATTGGTCATAAAGAACCTCCTTTAATTATATTGCGATTGTTAGCCCTTTCCCGACTGCCCCTAATAGCTCGAGCCCGAGCCCAGGAATCGACCTCGAGGCCCCAAACCGGCAAGTTCGAGGCCCTGAATAGCTAACTCATCGGTTCGATTATAACTCTATTTTAGCTCATATTTCGTCCTTAAACTTCATACACATAGCATCAACTGCTTAACAACCAACATAAAAAAGATCACGTATTTTTAGAGTCCCATCAATAAATTTAATTGTTATTACCATTTTCACGCTAATCAATTCTGTATTTTTAACAAACGGCTTTAATAAAATTCTATGGCACATCAATCATTATATGTGGGCAATTAATCATGGTCTTTGTTAATTAAAAGAATTTGATGACGTACGTGACGGTGGACGAGTTCAAAAAGAAAGTCTAGCAGATATTTAGGTTGGCAAGCTTTTGAAGAAGAGGTGCACATGATATTTTAGGAAAATCCTACAGTGAAATGTGAGGAACAAAATGAAGAGCTTTATAAGGCATAACACTTATTCACATTGTTCGTAGGCTTCTAAGCTCGATGATTTCTTAGCCCAAGGGACTCGGTGAGGAATTTATGTTTGGTGAACAATACATGCTATGAGATTAGACTGTGACAAATATGGTATTAGAACCTATGCTCCCTCAGTACGATGGCAAGACAAGTCTGAACAAGGATACTGAATCCCCAAGAACAGTTGTATGTGACGCCCATGACGGAGGCAAGCTGATGAGGGTGGGTCCACGAGAAGTACTAGCATGCTTCTAAGCTGATAAGCTTCTGAAGAAGGTGTTCAAGTTACACCTTAGGTGAATTCCTCATTGGAATATAATGAGAGAGGAAGGTGAAGAATTCTATAAGGCATACAATACATAACATGGGGTTGGCTGTGGCAAATAGATATCAGAAAAACGCTTCGTTAGTACGATGCTGGATTAAACCTCAGCAAGAATGTTGAGTCCCTAAAGGATATGTATGTGATACAAATAACTGAGGGCGAACTGACCATGACGATCAATAGAAGGATCTGTAAATTTATGTCGAAGGAGTGCACATAGCACTTTAAACGAACCCCATATTGAAATGGGAGAGGCAAGTGACGAGCTTTATAAGGCATAACACCAGTTCACATGGTACACATACTTTTGGGCTCGATGATAACATAGCCTAAGAAACAAATATGTAAAGTATGCTCGGCTAAATCGGATAATACATGCCATGAGTTTGGTCTATGATAAATATGGTATTAGAGCCGGATGCTCCCTTAGTCTGATGGTAGGCAAACTTCAGAGGGGATGCTAAGTTCTTAAAAGGGGTGTATGTGACACCCGTGACGGAGAACGAATTCGAGAGAAATCCTGACAAACTTCTAAGTTGGCAAGTTTCTAAAGAATGAGTGCAAATAACACCTTAAGCAAATCTTGCATCGAAACTGAAAAGGAACGTAAAAACCTTTATAAGGATAACACAAGTTCATACAGTACAAACGTTTCTGGATTAATAATGGCGAAATACCGAAAGATAAGTCTGCGAAGTCAACTGAATTAAAGCAAACAATGCTTACCATGAACTTGAGCATAGCTATGTATATGGTAATTCTTTGTTACATAGCGAAATTTTAGCAAAAAAAACCAAAAGACTGAAAGAGGTTTGCTTTTCTGAGTACTTGACTACTGCTTATTTTCTATTTCAATTCAATATGGCTAAGGTGACTATAGTAATTCAACATTTTAGTATTAGGAAATGGTTTTACCCAACAATATTTGCGGCAAATGATCTTAGCAGCGGAAGCAGATATAGGATTTGAACTCTATGGTTTAATCTCCAAAATTCTTAGCATTGAACTTATTATATTTTAAAAGTTATGGATACATATCTACTAGTTTTTGTAGATTTGGTGGATTTTTATCTATAAATTTATGTTTCGCGCCAAAATACCCGATTTAGTTGAATCCAGCACGCGTACGCTGCATCCGCCCTGCTTAGCAGAGAATTCTGTTTTACTACCCTAATAATAATATCAAAAGACTTGTTCTCTATATTTCGGAAGTTTGGTTTCCCTTTTAGATAATTTGAGAGCTTACATATACAGACACAGAAAACCAAACTTCAAATCATACTTTGATAAATAAAATAAAAAATACTTGCATATACAGAGAGAGAGCTGAAAATATGGGTCACATGGCATGTGGTGCACCAGCTGTGTCCACTCTTCTATCTCTCTTCTCCCAACTCCTCCCCCCCTTCTCCCCCACCCCACCCCACCCCACCCCAAAGCCAAAAATGTTCTCAAAATTTCACTATACATAGCCTTCTTACCTTCCTAACTCTGCCTTTTGACTCTCTTCACATTCTACTCCCCTCCCTTTCTCCACTTCTCCTATCTTCTTTCTTTTCAGAAAATGGAACCTCAAGAAGTGAACTTTTAGACCCAAGAAACCTCCATTAAAGCTAATAAAGCTCCAATCTTTGAAGATGAAACCTCATAACAGTGCTTTGTACCAACACCATTTTAGCTTAAACAAGATTTTCTCGCTCAGTTTTTATCTACAACCACTCTTTATTCTCCTCCTCATAATCTTCTTTCTCCCTCCTGCTTCACCTGCTTCTGTTAATGGCCTTCTCAAAGACTCTCAACAGCTTCTCTCCTTTAAATCCTCGCTTCCCAATACACAAACTCAGCTTCAGAACTGGTTGTCATCTACAGACCCTTGTAGTTTCACTGGTGTTTCATGCAAGAACTCTAGAGTTTCCTCTATAGATCTTACCAACACTTTTCTAAGTGTTGACTTCATTTTGGTCTCTTCCTATTTGCTTGGCCTCTCAAATTTGGAGTCTTTAGTGTTAAAGAATGCTAATCTTAGTGGTTCTTTAACTTCTGCTGCTAAATCCCAATGTGGGGTTTCTTTGAACTCTATAGATCTAGCTGAAAACACAATTTCAGGGCCTGTTTCTGATATCTCTAGCTTTGGTTCTTGTTCAAACCTTAAGTCTCTTAATCTTTCCAAGAATTTAATGGACCCTCCTTCTAAAGAAGTTAAAGCTTCAACTTTTAGCCTCCAAGTTCTTGATCTTTCTTTCAATAATATCTCAGGCCAAAACTTGTTTCCTTGGCTTTCATCTATGAGGTTTGTTGAGCTTGAATACTTTTCTGTCAAGGGTAATAAACTAGCTGGAAATATTCCTGAGTTGGACTTGAGGAATTTGTCATATTTGGATCTTTCTGCCAATAATTTCTCAACTGGTTTCCCTTCATTCAAAGATTGCTCTAATTTGGAACACTTGGATTTGTCCTTCAACAAGTTTTATGGTGATATTGGTGCTTCACTTTCTTCATGTGGGAAGCTGAGTTTTCTCAACCTTACCAATAATCAGTTTGTGGGGTTAGTCCCTAAGCTACCAAGTGAAAGCCTAGAGTTTTTGTACTTAAGAGGGAATGATTTTCAGGGATTTTTTCCAAGCCAACTTGCTGATTTGTGTAAAACTTTAGTGGAATTGGACTTGTCTTTCAATAATTTCTCAGGTTTGGTTCCTGAGAATCTTGGTGCATGTTCTAGTTTGGAGCTTCTTGATATTTCCAACAATAATTTCTCTGGTAAGTTGCCTGTTGATACCCTCTTGAAGTTGAGTAATTTGAAGACAATGGTATTGTCATTCAATAATTTTATTGGTGGTTTACCTGAGTCTTTCTCCAACTTGCTGAAATTGGAGACTTTGGATGTGAGTTCTAATAATATCACAGGGTTTATTCCTTCTGGTATTTGCAAAGATCCTATGAGTAGCTTGAAAGTGTTGTACCTTCAGAATAATTGGTTTACAGGCCCTATACCTGACAGTCTAAGCAACTGTTCTCAGTTGGTGTCACTTGATCTTAGCTTTAATTACTTGACTGGGAAAATACCATCTAGTTTGGGGTCATTGTCAAAGTTGAAAGATCTTATCCTTTGGTTGAATCAGCTCTCTGGGGAAATCCCACAGGAGTTGATGTACTTGAAATCATTGGAGAATTTGATTCTTGATTTTAATGACTTAACTGGATCAATCCCTGCAAGTCTTAGCAACTGTACCAATTTGAACTGGATTTCAATGTCAAATAACTTGTTGAGCGGCCAGATACCAGCTTCTTTAGGTGGTTTGCCCAATCTAGCCATTCTAAAGCTTGGGAACAACTCAATCTCAGGGAATATCCCTGCTGAGTTGGGTAATTGCCAGAGCTTGATATGGTTGGATCTCAATACTAATTTGTTGAATGGCTCCATTCCGGGGCCTTTGTTCAAGCAATCTGGCAATATTGCTGTGGCCTTGCTCACCGGCAAGCGTTACGTGTATATCAAGAATGATGGAAGTAAGGAGTGTCATGGAGCAGGGAATTTGCTGGAATTTGGAGGGATCAGACAGGAACAGCTGGATAGAATCTCAACAAGGCATCCTTGCAATTTCACAAGAGTTTATAGAGGTATTACTCAGCCAACATTTAACCACAATGGCTCTATGATTTTTCTTGACTTGTCCTATAATAAGTTGGAAGGTAGTATCCCAAAGGAATTGGGGTCCATGTACTATCTGTCTATATTGAATTTGGGGCATAACGATTTCTCTGGTGTGATTCCTCAAGAACTTGGAGGGTTGAAGAATGTAGCAATTCTTGATCTGTCTTATAATAGGCTGAACGGATCGATTCCGAATTCCCTCACCAGCCTCACTTTGCTTGGAGAGCTTGACCTGTCGAACAATAATCTCACTGGACCTATTCCTGAATCAGCTCCATTTGATACATTCCCGGATTATAGGTTTGCGAATACTTCGCTTTGTGGGTATCCTCTCCAACCTTGTGGCTCGGTAGGGAATTCGAACTCAAGCCAACACCAGAAGTCTCACCGCAAACAAGCATCGTTGGCAGGGAGTGTGGCGATGGGTTTGTTGTTCTCCCTCTTTTGCATCTTTGGTTTGATTATTGTTGCCATAGAGACGAAGAAGAGGAGGAAGAAGAAGGAGGCTGCTCTTGAGGCGTATATGGATGGTCATTCCAATTCCGCAACTGCAAACAGCGCGTGGAAATTCACGAGTGCTCGTGAGGCATTAAGCATCAACCTCGCTGCATTTGAGAAGCCTCTAAGGAAGCTCACATTTGCAGATCTTCTCGAGGCCACCAACGGTTTCCACAACGACAGTCTTATTGGCTCGGGTGGTTTCGGTGATGTCTACAAGGCTCAGTTGAAGGATGGCAGTGTTGTAGCCATTAAGAAGTTGATTCATGTCAGCGGACAAGGTGATCGAGAATTCACAGCTGAAATGGAAACTATTGGGAAGATCAAGCACCGGAATCTTGTTCCTCTTTTGGGATACTGCAAAGTAGGTGAAGAAAGACTGCTGGTTTATGAATACATGAAATATGGAAGTCTTGAAGATGTTCTGCATGATCGGAAGAAAAATGGGATCAAGCTTAATTGGCATGCAAGAAGGAAAATTGCCATTGGAGCTGCAAGAGGGTTGGCTTTCCTACACCACAACTGCATTCCGCACATTATTCACAGGGACATGAAATCAAGTAATGTCTTGCTTGATGAAAATTTGGAAGCCAGAGTATCCGATTTCGGAATGGCAAGGCTAATGAGTGCTATGGACACTCATTTGAGTGTGAGTACCTTAGCAGGAACTCCCGGCTACGTTCCTCCTGAATATTACCAGAGCTTTAGGTGCTCGACGAAAGGAGATGTTTATAGTTATGGTGTTGTTTTACTTGAGCTCCTAACTGGCAGAACGCCAACGGATTCAGCTGATTTTGGCGACAATAATATTGTTGGATGGGTAAGGCAGCATGCTAAGCTGAAAATAAGTGATGTCTTCGATCGAGAACTATTGAAGGAAGATCCAAGCATTGAGATTGAACTTCTACAACACTTAAAGGTAGCTTGTGCTTGCTTAGATGATCGACATTGGAAGCGTCCAACGATGATTCAAGTAATGGCAATGTTCAAGGAGATTCAAGCAGGGTCGGGCATCGATTCCTCGTCCACGATTGCAGCTGATGATGTGAATTTTAGTGCAGTTGAAGGAGGGATAGAAATGGGCATAAGTGAAAGTATAAAAGAAGGAAATGAGCTGAGCAAACACCTATGAAGGTCAAAATTTTCCAAATTCTTTGGCAAAGAATGCAACAAAGAAGGATTGAGGTGCTGAGAATTTGTTTCAGCTCTCAAAATTTTCCCACTTCACCATACCACTTTCCAAAAAAAAAAGATCATATGCAAAAAAAGTTGCCAGTGTAATTTTTAGCCATTATTGTATGTACCACTAGTTCCCTCCATAAAATCTTGTTATTATACATAAAAAGAAGGTTGTTTTAATTAACTTGTAACACTGTTGTATATAAATAGTCTTGAGTTTGTTTTTGCTACTTTTAGCTTGATTGTGATTTTCATTCTTTTTCTTTTGGTACATACTACATAGCATTAGATTCAGATCTAATCTTTAAAAGTAGCTGTTAGATTTCTGACCTCAGTGATGGTGACTAAGTGGAGGGTATTTTTGGCCCTTTCTTCAAGGGTTTTTCATGTGTTTCCTTTCTTTCTTTTTTATTTTTTTAAATTTATTTTAAAAATTGTCAAATGTCAATGCATGTCTCTTGTTCTACATGTATGCAGTTAAGACATCATTTCTCCTAACTTCAAGAATTTCTTATACTCCTACTTTTTTGAGTTTAACATCTCCAATTATATTTACAACATAATTTTCTTACTTAAGTGATAATTACAGATAATCGTTTATTGAAAGTCAGATTAATTGGTAACCTGAAAAAGAAGCTAAATATATAATATCAAGTTAAAACACAATTTTTTAATATGTAAGTATATTATTATATGTAGACTAAAACGTATATATATATATAGTTAAAGTGCCACACGCAATCTTGTTCCGTCCTTTCTATCGGTCTTATCCGCAATCTCTAAATACTGGATCCGCCTCTTCTAAGTCTGGTACTGCAGTGTTTTTTTCTTTGTTTTTAAATTTTCAAGAATTCTTATCCAATAATTATAAGTTTACATAGAAAAAGGAGGAAATAGGAAAATAATAATAATACCCCTCGACCACCCTAATTTCTGTAATACAGACAGCTAGTAGGCTTTGACCATTCAACTACCTTCTCTCTAACGCATTTCCTGATCACATGATTGAATAATGTATTTCTATCTTTATAAAAAGGAAATTGGATAATTATTTGCATTCTCCCTACCCACTACCTCTTCTTCAGCCCCAAAAACAAAATATAGGTAAATTCCCCTTTTATTTTCCCCATATTTTTGAAAAAGGAATGATATTTCTTGTTTTTCTTCTCCATAACTTGCATTTCGACAAATTTCTTCGAGGTAAGAAAAGAGCAAACCTTTCAGTTGATCAATCAATATTTGGTGAAAATTGCATAGACTAGCCAGTTTTTAAACGGATAATCGAAAAATAGTCAGTGTTTGCAAAGTCATTGAAAAATAGCTATTACTTTGCTGAAACACGGAAAGTTCCAGCATAATATGCTAGATTATGGAGCTCATGCATATAAACTTCCAGCATATTATGTAGGAATTCCAGCACACGGAAAGTTCCAGCATAATATGAGGGATTATGGAGCTCCTATGTATAAACTTCCAGCATATTATGTTGGAATTCCTATACATTATGAAATTCCAGCACATTATGTTGGGATCTCTATGTAAAAAATTCGAACTCCAGCATATTATGCTGGAATTTTTCAGGATTTTAAGGATGTTTTTGTTGAGATTTTTTTTTTAAATGAAAATGTGGCAAAATTTCGATTACTTTTGAAACTGTAGCTATTTTTAGATTACCAGTTATAAATCTAGCTATTTCTAATTTTTTTTTTCCAAATATTTTTTATAATGACTAGCGAGTTAATTACTTGTAATTATCTTTTCGGTGGCATAATTATATAAATATTTTTAACAACAATTGATGTATAGAACTTAAATTCATGTTTTAATTGTTCTTCCGTCTCTTTTACTCCTGAATTTTGCATATATTCACTAGTGCAATAAACTTTTAACACTACTAGTGCAATTTAACTTGTTGTACAAAATTAGTTTTTTCTTTAAAGATTTCTAATCACATATATTATGTGCGATTATATTAAATTAAATTCAAAGTGACCATAAATAAATTTTAAACTTTCAATATACAGAAGTTAAACTCGTTATTCTTATTTATTTTTCTTTATAATTATGAAACGCAATTAACAATAAATATGCTTATTTGGACGATAAGTCCCAATTATCAATGAAATCTTGAGTTTAAAAAATGGCTCTTTCACTAAGATAATTATATTTAAGTACGATTTGTCACATTGTAATCTTAAATTCTACTTTTAAGATGACTCTATATATGGACCTCTCATTTCGTTGTTCTTTTTTTTTTTCTTTGCACGCTTTCTGTAATGCGTGCATGCACGTGTACTCTTGCTCGAAGACTATGCAATTTCCATAAAAGCAATGAAAAAAGAGAATATTTTGCTAAATGTCCAAAGTGGTCACAACATACAACTAAAACTGGGAGAAATTCAAAAATAGCCAGATTTACCACTGGTCGTTGAAAAATAGCCAAGTTTCAAAAGTCATCGAAATTTAGCCACTTTAAATCTGAGCGAAAACACTGTTCAAAATCCGGAAAAATATGCCCGCAAATTTTACGGGAGTTCCAGCATAAGTATGCTTGAACTCCCGTAAATTTTACGGGAGTTCCAGGATAACTATGCTGGAACTCCCGCAAATTTTACGGGAGTTCCAGCAAGTATAATTGTCCAGTATAATATACTGGAGTTTGGAGCACTGGTGCTCCAGTCTCCCCCAAATTTTACAAGAGTTAGCAAAGTATACCGGTCCAGCATAATATGCTGGAGTTCGTACACAAATGCACCAGAACTCCCGTATATTATACTGAACCGGTCCCTGTTGCAGCAAAATAGTGGCTATATTTCATTGACTTGATAAACGCTGGCTATTTTTCATTGACCAGTGTGAAAACTGGCTATACCATGATATTTTAACACTAAAACTTGTAGAAAATCTAACCAAAATTATGGGCCCTAATTGCTAGACTTGGAGCGAGAAACCATGTTAACTTGCTCCCTCCACAAAAGAAAAGAAGAATATGTATGTAGTCGTATAAGCTTATAAATTAGTCAAATTATTTTTGGCATGCCCATTAAAAAAAATACTAAAATTCTATATAAAAATACCTAGTATGACTAAATTACCCTTAATTAAATATTTAATGTGAGGAGTAAGAATTTTTTTTAGGGATATGTACATAAGGGTAATTTTGTAAAAATAAATTGAATTTTTTCTTGATTATACAAATGGACACTTATTTTGGACCAAAATAAAAAAGCAAATTGGTCACTTATTGTGGACTGGAGGGAGTATAAAACTTTTTGATTTATTTGCGGGTTTGGTAAATAAAAAATATTACTTCAAAAAAAATTAGAATTAACTACGAACTTCACCGCTAAATCGCTCGTAGCTAGCAAAATTTTCTGATAATTTGTCGCTAGTTCGTCTCTAAATGAGATTAGTGAAGGGTTTTCTGTTTAGTTACAGAATTTTATCTGTCGCTAAAACTTGATTTTTTAGTAGTTTTAAAATTGCTTATAAAATAAAATCAACTAAAAGTCGAAAGTTAATCATTCCTAATTTATGTTTTTTTAGCTTATAAACATTTTATTTTGATCAAATTTTTTACTATTTTATTGCTATTTTATTTTTAATTTTCGTAACACTCTTCAGGAATCAAAACTCCTAACTCCCCCTCCTCCTCAATTTTATTTTCGTGATTCCTTAATTTTTATTTTAAAAATATTTAAAAATTTATATATTTTTCTTCATAAACAACTTTAAGGGAATTTAAATAATTTTGACAAAATTATCAAATACATCAATTACTTATTATCAGCTTCAATATTTTATTTAAGTACATAAAATTTTATTTGTAAATACTTTTTATTTAACCCAAACCCTAACCCTCTCCTGTTAGCAAGAGTTAAAGATTATATAAAAGGTAGAAGTATTCAATTCCAAGGATGGACCGAATAAAATAAGGTAAGGGGTCCCCTTATTAATAACTTCGATGCATGCACGCAAAACCAATTGGATGTTTATAAATGTCACGACGTTAGCTTGTATTTCAAATTTTCATGTTTTTTTTTTAATATTATTTTTATAAATTGCTGAAATTCAAATTTGTCCCCTTCACATGGACAACTTGCCATCACCCATGCTCGATGTTATGTGCTTTGTGTGGGTCTGTGTGCACTAAAACCTATACGAATAATTATATTAATTCTTTTTATTATTAATTTATTAATTACGATTATTTTTAGGTGATATGAACGCGTATAATTCTTTTATTTGTTGTCTAGAAGTTAAACTTAATGGAAAAGCTCTTTCTTTAGCATTCTATATGACACGGTAGGCATTTTGGTAAGTTAAAAGTGTTAGATTTTTGAAACTGAAATTTTTAATATAAAATATCTTATTAAAATTTTCTTATATCCAAGTAATTTCTGAAAATATTAAGTAAGAGTTTGGACATAAAATTATAATTTTTGAAAAAACAATAGTATTTGTAGTTAAGTTGAAAAATGATACTTAAAATTTAAAATTATGTTTGGACATGCATTTTACTTGAATAAATATTGTATATTTTTTTGACTGTTTTTCTAATTTTTTTTAATCGGAATTGGGGATTAG